AGAAAACATAATTTTGAACTTAAATTTAAAATGAAAGAAGAAATTAAAAACAAACCCCAAAATAAAATATATATATATATATATATATATTAATTTATTTATTTTGGAGTCTGTTTTTAATTTCTTTCATTTTAAATTTAAGTTCAAAATTGTTTTGGGGTTGAAAAGACAGCCAATCACTTTTGTCATCTGCTGAAATAGCTTATTCTTCACTTGTTTGATTATTAATTGTGTGTGTGTGTGTGTGTGTGTGTATATATATATATATATATATATATATATATATATATATATATATATTTTATCCTCCTTAGGTTTTACCCATACGGATTACCTAGTTTTTCATAAACTAAATATATATATATATATATATATATATATATATATATTATTGTAATTTTTTTAAAACCTACTTGATAAGATAATCACATTTTTGAGAAAGTAACAAGAGTTTTAAGTTCCTTTACTGTGTTTTCTTTGAGCATTCATACAGCAATTTATGAACGACCCTCAAAATCTTGACTCAACTGCATAATGGCTTTCGGTGATGATGTTCTTTTTGCCACATTTTATTGCTGGGCCTTCAAAACACTTGAAATTGAATTTGGAAAGCCTATACTATCAGGATCAATATTCTCTCATTCATCAGTTGTGTGCTGGCCCAGTTGAGTCAAGGTTTTTTACCATGGCGGATAAAACATCCCCCCACACACACACACTCCAAGTCATGTAATTCTTTAAATATTTTTCTGCTCACAGCTGTCATTATCTGACAGAACTTGCAAGTAAAATTCAATCTTCAGAGTTTTTCTCCAGCAAACTCACATACAACATTCTATTGTAATTAAAATTCATAAACTAACTCTGCGTACAACGTTCTATTGTAATTAAAATACACAGCATACAAAAATGAATAAGTGCTGGTAATAAAGAAAACGCGTGTTAATGCTATAGATTCGTAATATGTAATTTCAAGCTTTACGTTGTTATAATCCATATGTAAAAAAAAGAAAACTGTGTTGTATAAGCTTTTTTTTTTCTAGGTAGGTGGGAATGTTCCAACTGGTATCTATAGAAAGAAAAGACCAACCTCATTGAAATGTTAGCAGTAGCAAAATCAGCAGGAGTAGGTGTGAAAGAACAAACTCTATAAACACAGTCATCATTTTCCTTTTTTGAATAAAGTAAAGAATAATATCACGTCAGGCATTAGTAGTTTACACCTTGATATTCTGATGTTAAATGCTGATCCTTAGATCCACGTCCTAGGTATGATGATAAACTACATCCGCATCCTGGGTAAGACGATAAACTACGTCCAACAGCAAGGCCTCTGATCAGGAGGTTTTGAGGAGTGTGCAACCAACTCTTAATTGCTGGTGTTCCCAGGTCCACCAAGACCCGGGGTGGTAGCACCTGTTAGGGGTCCCAACTATGGGCAAATAGTTAACCCCGAAACAGAGGTAAAAAGCATTATAAAAGCATAAAAATATGGTTTTAATACCAGAAATACTTTGTAAAAAAACTATTACCAGCTATATGTTTTTGAAGAAAAAAATATTACCAGCTATACATTTTTGAGGAAAAAAATATTAACTGAAATAGATTTTTGACAAAACAAAAATATTTCCAGGAAAAAAAAAGTTGTTGGTATTAAATGACCCATTGAGGTTGATATGCTGTAAAACAAACCAAACCTTAGATCCAGTGTCTGATGGTGAGTCATCTAAATATTTCAGTAATGCTATAGTAAAATCCTTTATGAGTAGTCATGAAGGAAGAACAGATCTCTTGGTGGGGTATTGGCTTAGAATCTTTGGTTACCTATAGTCTTAAGCTGCCAGCTTTTATTCCATGTCTCTCTTTAGAATGATTCAACATAACCAGTCCATTTCAGAGGGTGGAGTTAATCAGATTCCTAATTGTAGAAATAACACCTAGTGATTTCATTCTACCAGCATGACACTTTTATCGCAATTTTTTTATCCTATAATCAGCCTAATATACATAGAAATATTTAATACTATATTTTACTGAGTAACTCTTATATTAATTTTAACCAGTATCCAAACCTCAAGACTATCCCGAAGCAAGCAACATGCTTTTCCTTTTAACTACTAATAATTAAGAAAGAATAATTTATAGAACTATAAAATAAATATTGAATTAAGTAGGCACGTTTTTATATGGTGATAACATGCTTCTATGCTTCTAAATACATTTTATGTTCCTCATTTTGTAGTTAGTTATTTATTTACTTATATACATGATTATTTACATATATTCATATTACCTAAGGAAAGATAGTGATACCTGAGGATTAAAATTCATTTTAGAAATGATAAAGTGATGTAATTGAAAAACCAGTCATCCCCATGAATGATTACACTATAGGTAGTAAGTACCTATAAAGACAACTGTCTACGAGAGACTTGAGAGAGACGATGCAAGCACGTCTGACCTTTCAATTAGTGGCACTCACTACTAGATTGACCTGTGTGTATAACTGTACCGTATTTCATATTGTACTTGTTGTGTACAATAAACCTTTCTTCTATTATCCACCTGGTGTTAAGTATTTATTCCCGTAGCACGGAATATAACAAAATCTTTCTTGAAGTTTTTCTTTTAGTTTTAATTCCAAGCTAATAGATTAAATTTAATATTTTCAATAAACAAAAAAATGACTTTATTTTTATTAAGTTTTGGGCCTTTTTTTTTCATCATGTATGTTAATTTTTTAGTGATTCTTTTGAAGGTACTTAATATTATATTTATATGCATATATATCTTTTTTTTTTTTTTCTATTACTATAAACATTATTTTTAGTGGTTACATTAAATAACATTTATATTAATAAAGAAATAATGTTAAAAAAATCCATTCAAAAAAGATACATTATTATTAGTTTTTCATTAATTTGATTCTTTCCACCTTTTAAAGTATATTTTTAATGATGAATACAAAAGCGGAGATTGAGGGACAGTAAATTTTCTGAAATTTCCTTAGCGATGGTGCTGTTGTCTGAACTCTCTCAGTCCTACATTGAATTTTGAGTTATTCCTGTCTTCTCTCGAGTGTCTTTAGGTCACTTTCCACAAAACCAGTTATTATACACAGAACCATAACTTTCTCATGCTCTCAGGTGAGGTCCTAATAATGTATTTTTCCCAGTTTCTTTGATCTTCATCCTGTAGTTTGCTGGAACAGTTACGTCTATTATTCATCAGGGTGTTTTTTTTTGTTTGTTTATAACAACCAACATCTTTTTTGGCTTGAGTGGGAAAAGTGTGTTTTATTTGAAATTAGTCAGTTTTTCTCCAGTTGTTAAAATAACTGAGTTGGTGATGTATATTAAAGTACATCAATAAATCTATAGCCTAATGATGGGGGTGGGGGATGGGGGGTGTTTGGAAGCATTTATCTTTCAATGTGATCTTCCTTATCAAGCAATTTAATGGTAAATATTAATCATTTACATTATACAGTGAAAATTTCAGATCATGATTCAGCTCATAAATATATGACAGTCTGTAGTCACACATAAGGAAGTGCTGAAAAGTCCTCAGCCTGATGAAAAAGTCATTAAAAAATTCTAATGATATCAGAAGGAGGCATGGTAGAGTAATGGATAGCAGCTTGGATTGAGGAATCGGAGAGCTGAGTTCAAATTCCAGTCGCATCCATTACATTCACTTACATATTAATATCCTTGGGAGAGGCATGAATCTTCTTCTTCTCCCCCAGCTATGGGTAAAATAACAGGACAGACTGGGTTCTATAGCCTTGGAGGGCAACTGATCTACTGCAGAATGAAATGGCAACCTACTGCGGGAACAAAATCTGCTTTGTCAGTCATGTATCGAAAGATACATAATCGCCTAAGCATGTATCACACATAGCACATAACTGACTGAATGATATCAGTTGGGCAGTGAAATTTACAGTACCGCCTTTTCACACACACACTCACATATATTATATATGAATAAAGACAACTTTTTTTTTTTTTTTTTTTTTAATTTTCAAGCATTTACCTTAGTAAAGTCCATCAGAGGATGAAACGTGTTTGTAAAGAAGTTTTCTTTTTACCTTTATTCATACATATACATATTTCCTGAAAAGAAATTCCTTAAAAGATGAAAGTGAAATAGTGCATAAAAACGAAAACTCTGTTAATGGCTTATAAAAGCTGAAAGTAATCGGATATTTATTTATATTTTAAAATTTTTATCAGAAGCCAAGAAAATAGTTCAAAATATAGGAAAAATAAGCTAAAAAAAAAAAAATCCTTAAAATAATTTGTTGATCTTTAATGAAATGTTTATATAATCTTGTGTAAAAATGTCAGAATATATCTGTAAAAGGACATGAATAAAGACAAAAGGAAAACTTTTCTTAGCTGATGTGTTTTGTCCTCTGAGGAACTTTATCAAGGCAAATATATAATCTTAATAAGTTTGTAGGTTAATGGTGAAAAATTTTACTGCATAATCTTTTTTGTTAATGCACTTTATTCAGTGGTAAATAATAATAAAATAGATCGAAGTTGTACAGTAAAGCTTTTAGATCAAAATTCAGTTCCATTTTAGGCCATGGTCTTATTAATTTACACTCATATTTGTGCTTCAAAAGCAATGATTCCTAATCCCATTTCTTTAATTCTATGCTCAAAACTGAATATTTTTAAGAATAAATCAGTTAAGGTTTAACATGGATCAGTTCTTGACTGCAAAATGCTTTTCATTTTCCTCAGCAAAATTTCAAATCGCTACCCAAATTTTTCAAATTATCCCTCAGTCGGGCATGGTTGAATCACTGTTCTTGATCACAGTGAATTTTATTTGAAAGAGACAACTTCCTATAAAACTAGTTAATGCACTCACTGTAATTTTGTTGGGTTTTTGTTTGTTTGTTTGTTTTTTTTTGTTTTTTTTTTTTTTTTTTTTAAAGAAGGCATTGATTATGCTAATTTTTAAAAATTTTTTGCTTATTGCAGAGAATCCCAATTTTCACTTAACATAAGAAACTATTTAAAACAATCTTCATTTGACAATTGGCAATGGGAGGAAGCAGAAATGTTACTACTTTTGGAAACAATGTTCCAAGAACTGAACTTCATTTCCACATTTAATATTCAGGCAAGTCTTTCTTCAGTCAACTGTGTGTTGTGTGTTGTTATTTAACCATGGTGTTTTTCTGCTGTTAATGCAAAAGCTATTTTGACATGCAATAACTGTTTGATTGATTATGAAATTAGGCAGAAAGCTGTACATTTGCTTGCTTGCCTAATAAGGCAATCTAACCCTCCAATGCTGACCTCATGACATTGAACTGCACTTGTTAACTTCACTCATATTACATGTAGTAATTTCCACTTGTGATATTTTAATAGCATTTTTCCTTTCATTCAATTTAGTATTTTAGCATTGTAATGTGCTACTGAAGCATTTCTGTAATAGCAGATTAAAGCAGTTGTCAGAAAAAGAAATACTAATCAAGATATTAATTCTTTTATAGCTTAATTTCTATTTTATTTTATGACATCTTTGCAAATGTTTTCTAGTGGAACTAATAAAAAGTAATTGAAAATATTTTCTTTTTATTCTTCTTTTTCTCCTCTTATGTGCCATGTCCCTTCTGGGTGTAAGTGATCATGGCTCTCCACTATTTCCTGTTCTTTGTAGCTCTTAATAAATTTTGCCTTTTTTGTTATCTCTCCTGAACCTTGTTCCACCATCCATCTACTCCATCTCATTAAATAGGTTATGTTTTCTTCTATCCCTGTTGCCCTCAATCTTTCCTGTGAGTATCAGATTTTCCAATCCCTCTTTCCTCATTATGCCCTAGAAATTTCAACTGTCTCTTCTTTATGTTAAGTATAAGTTTCCTTTTTCTCTAAAACTTTGGTATCCTCAGCATTCACTGCCATATAGGAGAACTGATATTATGTAACAGTTTGGTACTCTTTTCTTTGTTTCTAACAAAAATATTCTTTTTTTTTTTTTTTTTTAATACCCTGTTTAACTTTTGGAATGCATCTTTGGCAATCTCAAAGCGCCTTCAGATTTCATTGTATGGCATTTATTTTATTAAAGCATGCTTAAATGAATCTGCTGATAGAATTGCTGTGATTTCTTGATTACCATTTTGTTTTAAGGATGTAATCTAAAAAAAATTATATAAAACTTAGATTGTCTATTGACGCACTGAAAACACTGAAAATTAACTATATATAAAATAGATTGCCTGTGTGTTTTATTTGTATGTACAAATATTATGTAAAACAGTGATATCAAATCAATATTCATAACAGCATATGTCTTATATCTTGCCCAAATTGTCAGTTCTTATTTACACTGTTTACATGCAGACTATTGTCCTCATCTTTTGTCATTGTTATCACAATGTTTTGGCTGTCGTGCTCCCCAACCTTTATCAGGTGTATGTCAATCTGGGTAACTACAGCGAATTCTGAACTAATCCCTTTATTTAATCTGTGGGGGTAGACTAGGCATGGGCAGTGGAATGAAAACAATCTATCTCCATAGATTAAAAGGGTTCAGTTTAGAATTCCTTATAGGTTACCGATATTGATATAGACCTGATGAAGGCCTGAGGGCACAATGGCCAAAATGTGATAACAAGAGCAAAGAAGACGGCAACAGTCTATGTGTAAATAATCACTCCTCATCAGACAGAAATTTGCAGTTCTTGCTTAAAGAAGATATCTAATTTGCATATTCAGTTTTAAAAATAAATTTTGTTTTACATTTTACAATATGGTTTTTGTGATCTTTATAAATAATTGTTTTCTTGATGGCTTTTATAATCTTTTTTTCTTTTTTTTTTTTTTTTTTTTTTTTTTTAAATAATCCTTTCATCCCAAGCAAGGTAGTAAAGCTACTAAGACACATGGGGTTAGTGACTATGGGAGAGTATGAAAAAAATAATTAAGGAGAGAACAAAATAAACAAACAAGGATTGGGAAAACAGAAGATAGCAATTGACATTGCATTTAAATTTTTGAAGATCAAAGTTGACAAGAAAGCAAGAAGCCAAAAGAGAGTTCCACAAGCAAAAGGTGTGATAAAAGAAACTGTTAGCATAGAACTTACTGTTCTAGCCATTTCAACTATAAAATGATGAGACCTTCCTGCCAGTCTAGTACTGCGCTTAAATTCATAAAGTTTAGCTGCCATAGAGGAAAGTTCATCAGAACAATTGCCATGAAAATATTTATAGAAAAGACCCAGGGAAGCTGCATTATTGCATTATTTTTCTACCTTAAAGGTGATAATGACCTTAGCTTTTATATATAATGGTCTGGTGGTAAAGAGAAGTAAGCAATGTGGACATGTATTAATAGTATATTTTGTAAACCTTGCAAATATTACCGATCTCGTATATCACAAAGAAGGTGAAAGAAGGAAGGATAGAGGGAAGCAGTGAGTAACTTATTTAATTAGCTTGTATAACTGGAAGGCTGACTAGTGACAAAGTGGGATGATAAAAGAGTCAAACATTGCTTAGAGCTAGAAGGGACAGAAAATCGTGGAGAGCCATCATCACAGCACATAAAACAACAAATATTGTAATTTATGAAATAACTGACCACCAAAATATTTAAACCTATCAAACTGTCATAATTACAACAATTTTTCTAACAGCATTTAACAGCATATGCTCTCAAAGAAATAAGCATATAAAACGGGAGAAACAGAAAGAAACTTGTTCAAAGTTGAGTATCATTGCTACTACAAAATTAAAATTGGAAAAACTAATGGGAATTGTGCCTTGTCATGGAACAGTGAAAGCTGGTTAGCTTAGTAGACCATTACTTCTGTAGTGCATTTCATCCTTACAAAATACTCTATTACTGTGTCCTTGTACCAGTATAAAATTAAAATTAATAAATGTTTAAATGTTTGTCATCTCACTGATTGCCTTTACCAGTGGATGAAAGCAAACATGTCTACGGATAAACTTTGCAATATAAAATATACAGTGACTTTCATTTTAAAGGTTACATAAGAACTATAACTTTTTCGATGACATTTATCAGTAAATTTTAATTTTATAACTGCTGGGTGATAGTATATTTATATGTTGCAGTGGTAGAACTTAGTGATAAAATTATGTCTTCAGAAAAGAACTTTTAATGATATAAAAATAGAACACAAGTTTTTCTTAGTTTTTTTTTTATTTAATACCTGAAATTGATATTACAGTATCTTATTGCTAGACTAATTCTACACTTTATTGGCATAACACTCAGATCTTTTTTTATTAAGCAATCAAAGTGTGTCTGTATATTTTGAAACATATATGCTGTATTGGCATTTTAATAGCAAGAACTGATACAGAAACTAGGATTTTGATGAGCATTAAGTGATATTAATTTCATTAATCTTACAAGTTTGGTTGAAATCCAAAAGAAAGTGTTTTTCATCTAAGCTTACAATATCATCAGAGTAGCTTTTATTGAAAGAAAAATTGAAAATAGAGAACCACATGGTTAAATCTTAATGTTAAAAAGAATTTGACTGGTACACAAATTATGTATGAAAGGAGTAATTATTTAAAAGATATATTAGCAAGAACGAATCTGTATCTGTTAAACAGATGATGACAAAAACTTCTGTTGTGTATATTCACTATAAGCCAAAAGTTTGGGGCCACCCTCTGGACTTAATAATTAGTAAGTTTCATGCTTAACTCTGACTGAGCTTGGATGCTGAAGCTAATCCATTAGGACATTGTGTCCAAATTTTTAAAGATGGGTTAATTTAAAATTTAAAATCTACCAGCCCTAAAATTACGGTTAGCCAGCAAGGTAAAAAGAGCTAAAGTTTTAAGGAGACTTTATGCAGTAATGGGTTTTGTTGTTGTTGTTATTATTATTGAATATATGCTTTTTTTTTTTTTTTTTTTTTAATTACAGCAAAGTTCACCTTTTACAAGGCACAGGGGTCACTTGAAGTGGAGGGTTATGTTTGGGAGCCATTTGTGTGTATAGGAGTGGAAGATAAGTTAACCCTATCCTTGAACAGGTTAAGATTGTACTGATTGAGGAAACATCCTGTTAATAGTTGATTCTACAGAGCAATGGGAAGAAGCTGCTTGAGTAGAACTTCTCACTGATGGAATACGAAGGGAATTTGGGTGGGGTTTGCTACTATAGAAGTGGCATAGCAGATCGTTGCTGTGAAGGTTTGCCTTGGTGGGACCAAGGAATGTAGTTTGTCCAAGCACCTTCTATGGAAGTAATGGTGGAGCAGTAAGAGGCTTACCACATCCTGCCTGTTGGAAAGGGGTTGAAAGATGGAGAATAATTTGTTATCCACAAGCTCTCAGAAACTCTTTAACTCTATCAAGGCTAGTGAATTAGGTCTGGGCAGCAACCCACCCAAATATGACAGCAGTACTCCACTTTTGTCCTGATCTGGCTCTTGTAAATGTAGAAAATAGCAGGAGGGATCAAATACTCGGAGAGGTACAGGAAGCCAACCATTTTACCTGTATCTTTAGCAATGGATTGTATGTACAAGTTCCATTTCAGGTTGGGTGTATGTTTGAGGAACAAGTCTTTTAAGGCATGCTGCTTCCCTGAGAGGACCACCGTTCATCCTGATTGGTGGTAGTTTAGAGTCAGATCGCCAATGAAAGAATGTAATTAGCTTGATTTTTGAGGCATTGAATGTAACCTGTCAGTTTTTACTCCATTGAGTAGTTTGTGCAAGATCGGAACAGATACCAGTGGCCAATCTCTGACCATTGAGAGTTTCAGGGCTGTGCCCAGATGTAGTTCTATCATCGGCGTACATGTTTTCAAATGAAATATAACCATTCATGAAGAGAAAGTCTTTCTAGCCTGAAGTGAGCTAGTAAATTAGTTTTAAAAATCCACGCAACCTTCAATTTTTAGGCAATTCTTTGAAATCCAGAGGGTGGCACCAAACATTTGCTCTATAATATATAATAATTATTTTTTTAAAAAATATGATTCCATCACTACATAAGAGTTCTCATGTTTCAAAAACAGAAGCTAAAATCTTCAGTTTAATTATAGAAATTAAATTAAATTAAAGTACCTAGTTCTGTTTCATCTTCAAGTGAATTTTTGATTCCAAAATTCACTTGAGGATGAAATAGAACTAGGTACTTTAATTTAATTACTATAATTAAATTTAGCTTCCGGTTTTGAAACATGAGAACTCTTGTGTAGCGATGGAATCATATTTTTAAAAAACTAATTATAATATAAGCTCTACTTATGTATTGACCACTGTTTTTTACAAATAAAACAAAAATACTAAAGAACTTCAGATTATTAACCTAACAGTTCTTTCCTATTTTTCTATATATTTACACACACACACACACACACATATATTGTTTATAGTTGAGCATTATTATACTGATTGTAAATATGAATCCACTTCAAAAAAATTACAAACAAGAAACTTATTTATGATGATTTATTTTATTTTTCACAATAAAATGAAGTTTTTTTTTAATTTCAATATTCATCCCATATAAGGCCCAAGTGTCACTCTAAGTAGAGGGTTACTGTGTGGTGTTGTAGGAGTATACAAGAAGTGTGGTTATGTAGGAAAGATAACTGTTAATCCTAGACTTGAAGAGGTCAAAGTAATTGGGGAAAAAGATCCTACTGTCAGTCTGTTCCACAAAGCAGCAGTTCTTGGGAAGAAGCTGTTTGAGTGGAAGTTACTTTTACTAATGTAATATGAAGGGAATGAGGATGATTCACCATTGTGTATGTTTTATGGTGGGACCCAGTTGCAAAGGTTAGGGTTAGTGGAACCAAAGTGTATCTCGTCAGGACACATGCCATGGAAATAGCAATAGTTGCAAGAGATTTGCAATGTTTTGTCAGTGGGAAAGGGAGTATTTCTTTTTTCTTTTAGTAACATTTTAGCTAGTAGATCAGTTCCTGTGGAAAAATATCTTTGGCATTCTATGGAATATAAACCATGAACAACAGATAATAAAGATTATAAATTTGTTCCATGTTTATTTTACTTTTTTTTCATGTAACTTTAGCAGAGAGAAGAGAATGAAAAATGTTTCATATTAAACTGTTGATGGTATAAACTACTTATATCAATCATCTAAAATTTACTGAAGTTAAAATATTGATTCTTTTGGGTTACCAACAATAGAGTTTTAGAATATACATGAAGATCAGTGTTTCCCAACCTTTATTTTCAACCAGCATCCCCTTTGGGCACAAACTTTCTTGTCAATGACCCCTTGTCAAATTAAATTTCGAATATTATGTTGAATTCATCTTTCATAGCATGATAGCACTTAGGTATTAGTGGAAAAATAATTTTGATATTTTCATTTCTTTATAAATATCAATGATTAAAATGTTAAAAAAACAACTTTTATTTGATAGCTTATCTTGATGTTTTTGATGCGATGCTTGACTTTGATGCTTACTAAGGCTTTTACTCTAGGTTCCATGATGTTTAGAAGTAATCTTAGATCTCCTTGTTTTGTAATTTGCAGGCAGTTTCTTTGTTTAGTAAGAAGCTGTGTAATTGAAACCACATTCAGCCATATTGGAAGTTGGAAAAGTGATGAAGAAAAGTTTGATAGTTTCCTGCAGCTTTAAATAACTTTCAGAAATTTCCTTTTGTAGCCAACATTGAATAATTTTTGAAAATTTGAAAAAAAAAAAATGGATAAATGACCATTGCCCCCCCCTCATGAAATAAAAACTCCTAGTGCTCCCTTTCAGCATAATAGAGCCCACAAGGGATCTAACACATGGCACAGTGGATAGAGGCGTTGGTTAGATCCAGTGACAGTACCCAAAGAGTGTGAGTTCAGTACCCAGTTATGGTAGTGGAGAACTTTCAGGGGGAATTAACAGGAGATAACTGACATCCATTAAACATGGCACGAGGAACTAGAACAGTCTACCCCAGTGAATGAAATAAAGGCTTCCGTTCGACATTCCAACTACCTGAAGAAGGCAGGTGCGTACAACGGCTGAAACGTAATAAATATGGCGACAAAGATGAGAACAATAGTCCAAATAATGTAAATAATGTACATAATACCTCATCTCAGAAATATAGACAGATACTGAAGGGCCGAAACGTTGTGATAAATATAGTGACAAAGATGGTATTTATCAATCCACCCACGGGGACCGAATGTGGCACAAGGCCTTTTTAATGTGGGTATGTCTGAGCCCGTAAGCCCAGCCAAAATAAAACCCATCTAAACCCGCCCAAGCGGGCTAGTTCAAATCAACCTCCCGAACGAAACCCTACCCTTCGGCAGAGCTTCGTCCGGGTTCCCCTCTGCAAGCAGAGAGTTCGACAGACACCCGACCCGGCAGCTCACAAAGCGCAGATACTACACTTTGATCCTAGCCACCGGGCCGAGTATATGTTGAGTATAGTGACAAAGATGAGGACAATAGTCCGAATAATGTACATAATACCTCATCTCAGAAATATAAACAGATACTGAAGGATATTTCAGTTACATGTCAAGAGTATCAAAATTTTTTTTAGAACTTATTTGTCTTTTCAAATCTGATGTCTTTAACAAATTTATACTTGGAAAAGAAATGCAGATGTATTTTGAGTTTCTATCCTGTTTGGTTTCATACTTTCTTAAGGCTATTTAGTCTAAAACAATTGTTTACTGCAACTTATTCATGGGATTAAGCAAAACTTGGGCTGCAGAAAAATTGTCCGGTTCCAAACAATAGGCAATAGAAAGATAACACTTGACTAGAGCTATCTGTATTATGTTGACATTTGCAGCTGTTCAAGTTATTTGCATAAACAATAAGAACAGAATGATGTCGACATCTCCACCTTAACATCATCAATGACAGCCTTAATTACATTTATAAATTTACTCATAAAGTTGTTGTCTCTTGTGAGGACAGAGGACAGTGTTGTGCTATTATTTAAATTAATATAATGATTTTTTTAGACACAATATTGTAGAATAAGCTGATTGAAAACAATTCAATTTCTCTTTTGGAAAAAAACATATCCAAACTTTTTTCCAAAATCATTTATGCTCTTCCTTTTTAAATTTTTAATTTTTTGCAATATTGTCCTCAACTTTGTCGCCATATTTATTACAATGTTTCGACCGTTGTACTCTCTGGCCTTCTTTAGGTAGCTTTTAATTTAATATTCTCTGAAATTCCAGTAAATGAAGCTCGACAGCCCAGGAAAGCAGTCTATCTAGGGGAAGGAAAATCCAGATTTTAAAACTCCGCTGCCTTGTGGCCATAGCCAAAACATGGAAAAGGCTATGGAAGTAAATCCAGACAAAAAAAAACCTGGAGTGGAGCCCTGAATGCAGTTGTCTGTCAACACTTGACAACTTTCCGACAACTCCTATAGCCAAGCCATCTCCAGATGTAATTCTCTGTATTCCTTTTAATCTTGTTGGTATGGTCAAGATGGGTGCCATGTAGTCTGGACAGCACATGACCTCAATATATCATCGCCCAGGACTGTGCCATGGAGGGGTCACTCCAATTTCACTACCAAAAGACTGAAATTTGACTAAACAGGGCACTACCTTTATCTCACAAGATAAACAAATGCCTACTACTACTACTATTTGAAATAAATCACAGAATTGCACTTTTCTGCATTTGGCTAATTACTAAATTTTAATGAAATAAATTGTTTCCGTTATTAGTTTTTGATTGGTTTTTGTTTTTATCTTGTTGCTTTTTATCATAACACTAAAATCGTTTACATTCTACGGTCTTAAAACATGCATCAAGATTTAGAAATAAATCCTCTAAGAAATTTAACTTTGACACTTACTGAATCATTTTTGTTGGTTCCCATCCATAATGGGAATGATTGCAAAATACTTCCCCCCCCTCAAATTTATAGTCAAAACATCCAAATGCATGCTGGGATTTCTTCCTAGCCAATAAGATAAGTCACTTCTCAGTCTCATCAGATTAAATTCTGTTATTTCTTGTGTTGAAACCAGAAAGCTGCGATTACTTGTCTGTATCCCCTTTTGTGTGTTGACACCCTTTTTGCTTTGTGAACTTATAAACTTATTACTGTTGATTTGACTTGTATATATTTTTTGCTTGCTTAATGTTATTATTGCCATGTTCTTTTCTTTCTCTTGTTATTGTTTATTGCAAACTTTGTCAATTCTGTTTGTTGGGCATTTCTGCCAATTACATTTAAACATGGCTAATTACTCTATAGTTTTTGGTTTTTAATGTTTACTTATCACATATATATGGTTCTTTTTTTTCTTTTATTTTCTATTTTTTGAAAAATAAAAATATTTTGCATATTAACATTTTAGATTAACTTTTCTCTTAATGCCTTTTTCAGTTTTCCACTTTGCAAGAATGGCTGTGTGATATCTATTTACATTACTTTAATGTGCCATTCCACAATTTCAAGCATTGTTTTATGGTTACCCAGATGGTAGGTATTTTTGGTTTGACTTTTTTTTTTTTTTTTTTTTTAAATCACTTCACTACCAGGTGATAATGCCACTATGATGTAAGGGGTAACTGTTAGTGAAAAACAATGAAAAAAACTTTTGATGAAACCACAAAAGCCAATCCTAAACAGGAAACAAAGGATAAACCTCTGCTCCTGTTCAAAAGACAAGGGAGAAGTGTAAACTGGATGATAGGTGAATCTATCTTGAGTAAAATTGTTGTAATAGATTAGTGGTGATTGGTGGAAAGTGTCATCAACATCTCCTAACCTACCTGTGTAATGACTTGCCAAAAGAATTTTTTTTTTTTTTTTATTTATTAGAATGATGATTAGATGTGTCATTTTGCAAACTAGTTATAGCCAATTCCATTGTCTCAAAGTGCTACCCTGCTCTAGTTAGGATAAGCATAGTAAAATAAAAATGTATCATAAACTAATGGATAAAGCAGAAACCTTTTTTTCATATTGACTTTAATAGATGGTTTTAAGTATTTAAGAATCTCTGTTCTTTTTGCTTATGGAATTTTTCATTATTTCTACAAACATTTAACTAATTGTTTCTTTTTGCTTGGAGCTGCAGACGTTGACATGTTGACTATCAGAGGTCAATTGTGAAATCTGACATCAAATGCCAACTTAGGCAATAAAAAATTTTTATGAGTTGATTTACAGCTTCACCTGAGGTCGCATCAATTTACAGTTGAAATGGCCAGATGTAAGTGTAAGTTCTATGCTAACAGTTTCTTCTATTACACTTCTTGCTTGTGGAACTCTCTTTCGGCTTTTTGTTTCCCAGTGAACTTTGATCTTCAAAACTTTAAATGCAATGTCAATCTTTATCTTCTGTCTTCTTATTCATTTATTGTCCTCTCTCCTTAATAGTAGTTTTTCTCATATTCTGTAACACAAGGTAACCTCTTACATCCTAGTGGCTTTATTGCCTTGCCTGGGGGTGAATTGATTTAATAAATAAAAGGGGGGGGTAACATTATTTTCAGCACTAAAATTATCACTGCAAATAAACTTGTTGCCACCTGCAGAAGATGATGTTCCAGAAAATGCCAAGCAAAAGATAACTCATAGTCAGCATCGTAATAAAAACTGCCAGCCATGAGTTCTCATGGTTGGTAGTTGGTGTTTTAAATGATCTTTCAACTTTTGAATATATTCTGCAGTCTTTATGCAAAATGCTAATATAATTGATTCTCCATTCAACTGACAGACAAGGGTGGATTAACAAGTCTAAAATCTGATACATATTCATTAACTGAAGTTTGATCTGAAAATTTCATTATATACTGTTGGATTTATATCATTAACATTTATGCTGCTGTAGATGTACTTATACAATTTTATGAAACTTACATTGCCTTCTGTTTATATATATATATATATATATATATAAATATATATGATAAAAAACATACATACGTGTATGAAAAATTTTATATAAATATATTTATTTCACAGGTGTTATAAATACTGTGCTCAATGTTGAGACAGAGGTATATTAGGAAATATACATAATATCCAACGTTGATAGCATGACTCATTCAATCTTCAGATACAAATAAAATACAGATTGTATTTTTATCTGTAGATTGCAGCAACTTCACAAAACTATCCACGTTGGATATTATATATAAATATATATAATTTCAGATATAATTAAAATATCTGTAAAAAGACAATATCAATAAACACAAAAGGAAAACAAAAGGAAAATGGACTTTATCAAAAAATGCCAACAAGTATTAATTTCATCATCATTTTGATGGACTTTAACCTTTAATATACTGGAATTTTGCAAAAAGAAAAAATTTTATCCTATTAAATTCATGAAAAAAGATTTTGAATTTTGGGTTTATTCATCTTTCGTTTATTAGAAAATGATCCTTTACTGAAATTAAGTGATTGATTAGAGGAACCTTGAAAACCAATGCAGTGGAAAGCTTAGGTTAAAGGCCTATGCTTATCCTCTAAATTTATCTAGAATTTTCAGTTAACCTGATGAATTTTAAATGTCTCAAATTTAAAAGTTTTAGAATAAATATTTTACTTTTGTTTATAAAAACTTGTTGCAAAATGAAATTTATAATTTTATCTTTTTGTGTATATTTTTAATACGTTTGTTATTAAGTATGCATTGTTTTCCACTTTGTCATTGATTTTCCTAAGATTGTTCTGTTATATAAAAATTTATATATCCTATGTATGAAAGGAAAAAAAATCTTATTGGAGAAACCTTGACCTTACATTTAGATGTAAGTATTCCTTTTACAGAAAACGCTGGTCTTAAGCACTTTCAAATGGTAATCAAATGTTTCTAAAACACCTAATAAATAATCCGTTTGTGTTTTACATTTTTCAGTTTGAGCTTGCATGGATGGATTGATTTCATTGATATAGAATTATACTTTGAATAGGCAATTTATTATCCTTTTATATAAGGTAGAAATGGTTTTATTATTCTTATTTTAATTTATTTGATAATGTCCATGTATAATATTGATTATTGCACTGAGGCTTGTTAGCCTAGCGACAAACATCACTTAATTTAATGTTTGTAGAATAAGATGATCTCCAGTTTTTAAGGGTTGTGTCTCTTATACGTGTAAATATATGTTATATATGAAGCCTAATCTGAAGAATGGTTGCAAAAGTGATAATGTTGCAACCTTTTTTCTTTTTGTTGTCCACATCTTTTTCCTTGACTTAGATTTTTTTTTTTTTGTTAGATTTTTTTTTAATTCTCCCCCTAGAGAGTAATTTTTTTTGTTCTTCTCCTTTTTGTGTTTTAATTATTTTGCATATCCTATATGAATATATACTTTGAAAAAATGTCTGTTTTTAAAGCCATAATAAAATTTTGTACCCCCCCACCAATTATTTAAAATATGTTTTATTACAAATATTCACCACATGTTAATCCTTTCATGGTATTTAAAGAAAGTCTTATATTATGAATACCCCCCCCCCAAAAAAAAAACAAACTTTAATCTTTGTCTAATGGTTAAAAGCATTTGTATTACATTTAAATAAACAATTTTTGAACATTCCAGTCATTTATGAATCATTTATATAGAAAAATAAGAGCCAGTTGCTCAAAGGATAACAGTAAAAGAATATTATTTCTTTTAAAAGTAATCATTAGGCATTAACTTGTTTTGTGTTTGTTAAAAATAATCCATTATGAGAATAAGTATATAAATACTTAATTGGCTGGCATTATTTGTAATCATTAAAAAACCCATAACTTAAGCATTATTATTTTTGTTTGGCCTTTGTTTTTTTTTCATTCTTTGATAAGTGAATTGCTTTGATGGATTAATTTATATTGTTCTTTTTTTTTTTTTTTTTTTTTTTTTTTTTTGTTCAACTACTTTTTTTTTATACTGACTGAAAGTAAAATAAGTGTAGGAAATATTTTAAATAATATGATTTATTAGATTACAATAAATGCTTGGTTAATACAACGGAAGGCTGAAAAGTTCTTAGCATGTCCAAGAAGAGCCCCCCCCCCTCCAATAACTCATAATACTTGGTTCTTTGGTCTGATTTTAGGAAGTGGGTTGGACTAATCACTTTTCAGCACCCTCTCATTCAGCTCTCATTTCATTGTTTTATTTATAGCAATTCTATCAAAACCATATTAATTCGTCCATCACAGAATATAAATATTCTGTGATGGAGGAATTAAATTAAATTTTAAATTTTAAATTTTATAATTGAATTCAGAAATTATTGTTATGCCCAATAATCTAAAATGTTTCATTTAAAAATGTATTATCTCAGATAATTAACAAAAAATTGATTTCATAGCTAATTGCAACCAGTTGATTTTTAGCTGACAATCAGCTGTAATGAATTGTGATCTGTAGTATTATTGTTTCTTATTTTTTTTTTTTTATATCTAATTTCATAATGTATAACTCAGATAATCTGTTGTTTTGTAATAAGCAAATGCATTAAGTACTGGCAATGTGTGTGTGTGTGTCTATAACAAACATCAATTGTGTTCCTGTTATTCCCTTTTATTCTTGCTTCTTTATTTCAGATGTACAGTCTTATTTGGCAACTAGAATTGCGCAATATTTTATCTGAAGAAGATCTGCTTACTTTATTAATATCTGCAATATGCCATGATTTGGAACATTCTGGTTTCAGTAATGTCTACCATGTGAGTTGATCAGATTCTTATTGGTTTGTGTCCAAATGTTAAAAATAGAAAAATGATTTGGTGCTTGAAATGATATTGACTTACCTCATTAAGATTCAATATGAACTTGTTAATGACATGAGTCATCTGGAATGCAGTTATTAAAAGAATTTGATTTTTTTAGTATCAATTCTTACTTCAGATGTTACAAAGCATACAATGCATTTAAAAAAGAAAAATCAAAACTTTTACATCTTTTTGCTATATTTATAATCAATATTTAGAATGTAATCCTTTTTGCATAAGAAAATATTTAACTTTGAGCCTTATACTATAATGACACAAAAATTTATGCTATTGTTGGTGGATTTAAAGTAAAATGTTTACTAGCTTGATATATTTCATAAATCTGGGAGATTTTCAATGCTTAACATGTTGTTTTTCAAAAATATATTTTTTCATATTAGATTTTAAAATCAAAATTCTGTTGGGTGGGATTCTCGATGCTTAGAATGTAGTTTTCAAAAAGACCTTGTATCAGATTTCAAAATCAAAATTCTGTTGGAAGGAATTTTCTGTGCTTAAAATGTCATTTTCAAAAAGTTCTTTACTTGTATCAGATTTTAAAATTAAAATTCTATTGGGTGAGAAGTTGGTTAAAATAGATTGAGTATTTACCTTAATAAAAATATTACTTTTCATTAATTATTGTTGCTATCAAATTGGTCAAAATTTAAATTGCTTCTCTTTACTTATTCTGTTTTTCTTCTTGTGACCAAATGTTATATGAACCCTAACAAAAGAAGGAACCAGAAACCTAATCCTCTTACTAAACTAACTTACTTATTAAAAACTGAATTTTTCTTTTATAAATTTTATTTAACTTTTTTCTTTTTTTTTTTATTTTTTCAACTTTTGAGAATCTGAGGTAAATCGTAAATTATAAAACAATATTTCACGAGGAATATATTTAAATTATTATAAATAGGTAAATGCTCAGACCATGCTCGCTCGAACCTACAACGACAGATCTCCATTGGAAAACCATCACTGTGATGTTGCATTTCGCATTCTTGAAAAATGGGGACTACTAAAGAGTTTATCCAAAGAACAGTATTTAGAAGTTCGGCAAGGTATTATCAGGTAAGAATTTATTAAAAACTGAATAAATATATATATATATATATATATATATATATATATATATATATTTTACAACTCTTTCTATTGGAAAGAAATTGAGATTTTGAAAGTAAAAAAAAAATTTTGTATTTCCTTTATTGACATTCTTGAAAAATAGGGATTACTAAAAAGTTTATTCAAAGAACAGTATTAAGAATTTAGACAAGGTGTGTATATGTATGTATGTATATATGTGTGTGTGTGTGTGTGTATGATGTAAGAACAGTTAGATTAATGATCCAAAGTTCTTTAGTATTTGTTTTTATTTTTAAAAAAAAAAGTGTTCAATATAAAAGTGGAGCTTAAAATTATAATTATTTTTTTAAAAATATGATTTCATCGCAACACAGAAATTACTATGTTTTGAAACTGTTTGGAATACCAAACATCGCTTGAGAATGAAACTGCTTTTAAGTTTATTATTGAAATTAAACTTAAGCACTTGAATTTCAGTTTCAAAACATGGTAATTTCTGTGTCTGTCTATATTCCTGAGATGAGGTATTATGTACATTATTTACATTATTTGGACTATTGTCCTCATCTTAGTCGCCATATTTATCACAACTTTTCGGACGTTGTACACTCTGGCCTTCTTCAGGTGGTTGGAATGCTCAACTGAAAAGTTCTCCACTGCCTTATTTTGAACTCACCGGGTCCTGACTGTTCCAGTTCCAATCGGCAGTGGATGTTTAATGGATGTCAGTTATCAGTTATCTCCTGTTAAATAAAGGGTTTCCATCTGAAAGTTCTCCACTGCCTTAATATGGTATTGAACTAGTCTGAATAATTTAAATAAGGTAATTTCTCCTGATGGGATCATATTTTAAAAAAAACATAATTAACGCCTTTTATCCAATCACCCCATGCAGGCGTTTGTGAATGAAAAAGATTTTAGAAGAAAACAATTCTAAGCAGAAAACAATGGATAAACCTCTACTCCTGTTCAAAAGATTAGAGAGGCATGTGAACTGGATGATAGGTGAACCTATCTAACCTTTTGAGAGAAAAACAAATAGTAAAGTTTCAGAGTTTAGGCAAAGACATTAGAATATAGAGTTGAAATAGAATTTAAAAGGAACCAGAAACCCAATCCTCAACAGGAAATGAGGGATAAACCTCTACTCCTGTTCAAAAGACTGGGGAGGAGTGTGAACTGGATGATAGGAAAAGCTATTAGCTAAGAATTTATTAAACTTTTTTTTTTTTTTTTTTTTTTTTTAAAAAACAACTTTTCATATTGGAAGGCATTTTGTTGTCATTCAGATAGTGTAATTCAAGAATTATGGCATTTTTCTGTATGGCTGATAGCACATTAAAAATCAGTCTCCAGTAATTTTTTTTTCTCATTGTTTTCTTCTCCATTGCTCCTCTTAACAGTCGCCTGGTAAACACATATACCAAACTTGTATATAAAGTCACATTCTTGAAGTACTTTGTGAGGATTAAATTCAATGTCAGTAATTTATGAGGCCATCTACTTACCTCACAAATAGTTGATTTACAACAAAGTGAGGGAATATAGGTCATTATCTTCAACATTTCTCTTGTCTCTTGTTTCTTTAATTCTTTGCATTTTATATTTTTCTTATATTTGCACTTACATATGCATTCATAACAATTTTTATAATAACTTAGAAGAATAAACAACAACTTCATTTTTAAAATCTATAAAAATAAGTCAAATGACATTAAATTCTTTTCATATAAAACTTTTTCTCATTTTCATTTTATATATATATATATATATATATATATATATATATATATATAAAAAAGAAACAAACCCATAAACGTTTTGGTTGTAATGTGGATTTTTTTAAAAAATATTTTGCTTTATTTTCCATAATTTTGCAAAAATTTAGCAAGAGTTTTTAGCAAAATTATGGAAAATAAAGCATATTTTTAAAAAAAAAAAAATCCACATTACAACCAAAAACGTTTATGGTTTGTCTCTTCTTTTTAATATACACACTTTTTTCTCATTGGAACTACTATAAACTCTTCCATTTTATATATATATATATATATATATATATATATATATATATATGTGTGTGTGTGTGGCTTTTGGGTTATCTGTACATTTCCTAATCTTCATTTTGCATTGATTTTCAGGTGTATATTGAGTACAGACATGGCTAAGCACCTGAATATTCTTCAAGATTTTGAAGCAGTATTGAATGATTTTAATCCTGAAAAGAAGGAACATCGATTGCAGGTAATATCATACTCTAACACTTTGTAAACCCTTGCGTCTTAGTGGCTTTATTGCCTTGCTTGGGGTGAAATGATTAAAAAAAAAAATTTAAATATGTTTTCGACCTTTATTTTTATTTTTTTTTGTTAATATTTAAATGAAAATTCTTATTCATTGACTCTGGTTTATAAAATAAAATAATTGATTTGTTATAAATTTTATTGATTATCAAAATAATAACTAATGAAATTGTAGAACGTTATTTCAAAATGTTATTTTAAACAAAAGAATAATCTTTGGTTTTAAACTGAATTATTTTTAAATTAGTTTTTCCTATTTTTTTAGTTATTTAATAAATATAATTAATGATATGAAATTAATTTGAAAATCATATAAGAATAATATAAATTTAATATCAAATTTATTACAAGAACTGAGTAAAACAAACCCAAAATTTGTATTATTACTTAAAATTAATTTTGCACTGTATTTAAATTCATTACTTCAGTGGATTCTTTTTTACTATCTGCCCCTTTGTTATTTTGACAACATTCCTACTTTATCTCAATGTGTCAACAACACCTTGTATAGTGGGCAGGTTCAGGTTGTCAGTCGACTTTTGTTAACCTTCTTTTGGTGTACCTGGGTGTTATGATATTACAAAATCTTGTATATTCGACTATTTACAATGGTAACTTTTGCCTTAAGAAAACCATGTCAGCAAATCTTATTTTTTAAAATAGCATTGAATCCATTTTTTTTTTTTTTTTTTTGTTTCTGATCTAATTTAATTTTTAAGATCATTGTCTTTAATTTTATTACCAACTTGATAATTGTAAAAGAATTAGGATAGTGATAATTTATTTTCTTTAAAATCATGTTTTTATACCCACACACACACACAAGATAAATATTGACATACAGGAATGCTGTTGAAATGTTGTTTTACTCATTAATAATAGGTGACTTCATTTCTTTACTTTTACACAGTCATGCCAAAAGTAATAGGATAGCTGTATTCAATAGTTAATAGTAGGTGTGGTGCCATCATAAATGATCGTCATGGAAATGTCCAGACCCATACAGTTGTGCTGTGACACGTGTTGAGTCAATGGGAACACCAGCTAGGCTGCTTTTGTCAAGGTGACATGAATTATTGGCATTTGAATAGCAGGAGATGGATGGAACATTCAATTTCTGAAATTATGGAGATATTTGACATCTCTTGATCTATGCTGTCATGTGTAAACTCGAAATACCTAATGAAAGGCATGACTGTCCCTCTGTGGACATAGCAGTGGTTGACCATGTTTTATATATTTCAAAAAAAAAAGTTAATTTTTTGGGAGCTTTTAAAACATATAATGTTTATATATGTACATTATATATGATCAAAAGATTGTCATAGCTGGGTGTGATAATGGCAACAAACTTCCACTGTATATAAAATGTTTCCATGACATGTATCTCAAATAGCCTCTGACAACTAAGTCCAGCTCCAAGCTGGAGAATGGGCAAAGGTGGACAACAGGTCTGTCGTAACCAGCTACTTCGGTTAGATGGATCTTGGATGCCTAGGAAGGTAGTCCATCAGGGGCCAGGGTTTCCAATGTGGGCAATTTGCTTGTTAGGGAGGGGGGTGCAATTTGAAAATAAGTTATTAAGAGAAAATTTTTTTGTATTTAGTCTGTTTTAATGCATAGGGTGCATATACATTATGCATGCATAAAAACATGTATGTATGTGTGTGTGTGTATATATATATATATATATATAATTACATACTCTGTGTGTGTGTGTGTATTCATATATATATATATATATATATATATATATATATATATATATATATGTGTGTGTGTGTGTGTGTGCATATATAACAAAATAAAATAAATAACAATGTGTCAGATTTAATCAATTTCCTAAATATATATATTTAAATAATTTCTTAGTAATTTCTTCCTCAGTACCTCATGGATACCCTGTTCTATGGAAGCTTGTTTAGATCAAGTTATTAGCCTTTTAGTCTTCCTCCACATGAATAGGAAATTCACTTTTTGAATGATAAGAATTATGTCACAGAGTGGGGGAGGGGGCATCAGGATCTTAGAGATGCTTAGGTGTGGCATAGCCAAAAAACAGTTGGGAACCGCTGTTCTAGTGGATGGGTAATCCTGATTTTAAACTTCCACTGCCTTGCAGTCATATCCACACACAGAAAAGGCTATGGAAGTAAGTTCAGACAGAAAACCTGGAATGGAGCCCTGACAACTTTTTGGCAAATCCTGCAGCCAAGCCGACACCAAATGTAATGTCCTGTATTCCTTTGGATCTTGTCAGTACAGCCGAGGGGGTGGGGGGCAGGGTCATGTAGTCTGGGCAGTGCATGACCTCCATATACCATCATCCAGTACTGTACACAGTACTGGATTTTGACCAAAGAAGGTGCTACCTTTATTTTGTGAGATAAATAGATGCCTACTTTAGAGACAGGAAGTGTTAGATTCATAGCCAGCAGGTCAGTTCAACATTCTTTAGTTGAGAGGAGAAACATATAGTTTGAATAGCTTTGCTACTTTCTTATCTCCATGTTTGTTTGGATATCATTTTGCATCCTACTATCATTTTTTTGTTTCCATAACAACTTACCTGTACTTATAATGTCACTAATTGAACCTTGACAGACTGGCAATGTGTAGAATGGTCCAATGAGTTATTTCTTGTTGTTTTTAGCTGTTGGTATGGTTTGAATACATCACAGACCTCATAATGTCAAAGCACATGACAGGGCTGATGGTGGGTTCCATAATAGTGTGGGGTGTATTCACATAGCATGGATTGGGTCGACTGGTCTGTCAAAACACATTATTTACCTATGACTTTTAGATTAGTTTCGTGACCATTTGTAACCATTCACAACCTTCATGTACCTCAAAAATGAAGCATTATTCTAGCAGGATAAAGCACAATGTCATTGAATTCAAGTTGCCCAAAATTGGTTTAAGGAACATCCTGGATATGGGAAAAGAGTGTGTACTGGGTCATAAGTGAACCTATATACTCCTGTTAAAAGGGGGAAAAAAAAGAAGTTATTTGATGTTTGGATTTTAGCATAGTTTTAAATGATAATTTGGAGAGAATTAGCCTCTTGGTATCTTTTTATTTTTTAATTTCTTTACTTAATCCAAAAGACGTTGATTCTTAGGTGAGAACTAGGTTTTTTTTCATAATTTTTCACTGGTCATTTTCCCGTTCCTCTACTTTGCCCAAATGATGGGATTTTAGCTGATGCACAAGAGAGACCTTGGCTCTTGCTGTTTCATGTTTAGTTTTTAATTTTCATACTCAGACTGGCATTTTGGGGATCATATTGTATGCCTTTCTAAAATCAATACATCTCTTGGCAATAAAAGAGTTAATTTCCTTTAGAGTTACAGTCATTTAGGTGATTCCCCCCCCGCCCCCATATTATCATCTACTCCTTTTCATGTTCAGTAATCTTCCTCTTCTGAGTGCTTGCTAAGTAATATCAAGATCATGCAACTGGTTCTTAAGATATGAACAAATCTCTTGGATCAGTAATTGTCTGTGAAACTTGCTCGTAAACCATCACTCTACAACAAGCATTTCTGTAGATATTTATGCAGCTTATATTAATCTAGCAGAGAGGTTACAATAATAGTCCCCAATGAGGATCACACTTACTATATTAGTATGTAAGGTTAATCTATCCAGATTCAGCTGTTTGTAATTTTAAAAACATCTGTCATATATAAGGTTTCCATATTCCTAAGGATAGGATTGCAAGTTAAAATACAACAGTTGTATTTCAAACCCTTCTTGGAGATATTCTTGAACACATTTGAAACCTGAGTGGAACTCCTTTCCTTTTATGGTAACATTTATTCTTTTAAAGTTTATTTCACATTACCAATGCCAAGTTAAAGTTTGAATGATGTGTCTATTAAAATTCATGTTGATGTAATGTTGCAATCAACATTAGATTACCTCAACTTGGTTTTTGGCTATTCTATATTTAAAAGATATTACAAATAATTTGAATAAGCTTTTTTTTTTTTTTTTTTTTTTTTTTTTTTTTTTTTTTTTTTTTTTTTTTTTCTTTTTTTTTTTTTTTTTTTTTTTTTTTTTTTTCTTTAAATCTGTTTCACCCCATGTAATGTAGTAAAGCCACTAAGACACAGAGGGGTACTGGGTGTAGAAGAATTAGGGAAGGAAACATTATTAATGGGCAGGAAGAGAAAAGAGTAATCAGGAGGACATTAAATAGTGATTGACATTGCATTTAAATTTTTGGAGATTAAAATTGGCTGGAAAGCATGGAGCCAGAAGAGAGTTCCACAAGCGAGAAGTATGAGAAAAGAAACTTAGCATAGAAATTATGGCTACATCTAGCCAGCTCAAGTGTAAATTGATGAGATAGCTTCATGTCTCGCACTTCCCATATGTGGAACTCCCTTCCTCTTACTTGCTTCCCTGATAGCTGTAATCTCCAAATATTCAAATGCAATGTCAATCAACATCTCCAAATGCTTTGATCTATTCCCTGTCCTTCTCTTCATCCTTTCCTCTATCACGCCTCGTGTGCTAGTGACACTCCTGCCTTGCTTGGGGTGAAAGGCTTAAAAGAAAAAATAATAATCTTGACGCCAATCTAGTAGTACACTTAAATTTAAAAAGTCTAGGTAGCATAGTGAAGAGCTCATCTGAACAATTACCATGAAAATATTTATAGAAAAGGCAGAGGGAGGCAACCTTATGGTGGTGGGAAAGTGACTGAAGCCGAGCTGCCAGATTAGGACTGATGTTTTCCATAAAATATACATGAAGTGTAAGCTTTTGCAAATGTTATTGCCTATTGTATAGACATTGTCACTTCTCCCCTGACTTTATTTACTTTATTTTCCTTTCTCTGGTTTCAGCTAATCTCTGCTAAGCCTTAAATTTAACCAATTCATCTTTTTATTTTTATGATTTCAAAACATAAGAGTAATGATGCGGTTAATTGGGACATACGCCAAAGAGAAATCAGCAAATCCTTCAAGATGAAAGTTCAGGAAAAACTATTGTATGCTAAGGTAGCTAAGATCTACAGCAGGTCTGTACAATAAAAAAAAAAATTGTGAAAGTCCACATTGTTCACAGAAGATTAGCTGTGGATGGCAAAAGTAAATTTGAGTGGAAAAATGGCACAAATACTGTAATACATCCAGAAGGTGGAGTCAAAAACACATTGTGTACCATTTTTTTTTTTTTTTTTTTTTAAAACAGGTTCTGGTTATAGTTTTTGAGACTTTGTCATATACTCCCTTAGCTTTTACCCTTGGTTATGTGATATTATTTTTAGATATTCCAACATTTAATGCTTAAGACTTATTATAATGTGAAAAATAACAGCCTTATTTGAAATGAGAAGTTAGATTTTTTTTTTTTAATCTCCCTAAACCTCTGCCTGCATTCATAGCATACACATGCACACACACACACACACACACTTCTGCCTAGGATCATAGCTCACATACCTGGCCTTCTGGCTGATATTGGAACAGTATTTATTTGTTCTCTTTTGTCCATAGCTCACATACCTGGCCTTCTGGCTGATATTGGAACAGTATTTATTTGTTCTTTGTCCATAGCTCACATACCTGGCTCTTTTGTCCCTAGCTTGTTCACCATAGCTCACATACCTGGCCTTCTGGCTGATATTGGAACAGTATTTATTTGTTCTCTTTTGTCCATAGCTCACATACCTGGCCTTCTGGCTGATATTGGAACAGTATTTATTTGTTCTCTTTTGTCCATAGCTCACATACCTGGCCTTCTGGCTGATATTGGAACAGTATTTATTTGTTCTCTTTTGTCCATAGCTCACATTTTTCTGTCCATTTATTTGTTCTCTTTTGTCCATAGCTCACATACCTCCTTCTGGCTGATATTGGAACAGTATTTATTTGTTCTCTTTGTCCATAGCTTTGGCCTTCTGGCTGATATTGGAACAGTATTTATTTGTTCTCTTTTGTCCATAGCTCACATACCTGGCCTTCTGGCTGATATTGGAACAGTATTTATTTGTTCTCTTTTGTCCATAGCTCACATACCTGGCCTTCTGGCTGATATTGGAACAGTATTTATTTGTTCTCTTTTGTCCATTCACATACCTGGCCTTCTGGCTGATATTGGAACAGTATTTATTTGTTCTCTTTTGTCCATAGCTCACATACCTGGCCTTCTGGCTGATATTGGAACAGTATTTATTTGTTCTCTTTTGTAACAACATCCACTGTGTTTGTGGCTTTAGTTCTGCACTTGCGATGAGATGAGTTTAGTCCTTCGGATTTTAACCCTGAGGTAGCACTTCCCACATCTACCAAACTGAGAGGGTTTTTGATGCTAGTATGAACCTGGTTGCCTGTTGGTCATCACATTAAACTCATTGTCTGGCAAGTGAACATTATGATCAGTGTAGTACCTGTGAAGATTACCAGGTTTTCTCACTTGGATCTGAAAGTTGTTCCTGTGCATTCTGAAAAGTCTCTCATGCACTCACTCATTCACTCACATACACAAATGTACTGTTTAGTGATCCCATTATGTTTTGAACTACAAAAATAATTAGATGATATACTTATGTTTGGGGTTTGACTCTTCTTTTGATTTATTTACTCTTTCCACAGGGTGGAATCCTCCTCATTCCCTTTGTATTCCATTGGTAAGAAGGAAGTTCCACTTAGAACAAACTCCTGAGAGGATGCTTTCCAAATCACCACAGTCTTAACCTCTCCAAGTCTAGGGGCAACCGTAATCTATCCTACACATCATTATAATTTGCACTTACTTCCTCCTATGTCCATATAGCAACCTCATTCAGTAACTGTCTACCTTGATGGGCTCTTGGGTCTTGTATTAAAACAAAATATTGAATTTAACAAAAGGGCAAGTAAATCTGAGAAAGAATTCAGTTAGTGAATTTCTTGTGTGATGTCCACAATAATCTTAATCATGATTAAGTGCGGGCTCTTTGGTGTGGTGTAATGGTTAGCAAGCTTCTCTCGCTAGATCAGTTACAACTGAAAAGTGAGTTAAATCCTCACTGGATTCCCCATTCTTCCAGCTTTGTGCCACAAATAAGCTATGCTTGGAAAATCACCATAATCATGATTAAGCTTAATTTCAGTTGCTTGGAATTATTCAAAAGCAAACCCCCCTCCCCACAATGACTTAAGCACCATCAGACATGTTAAATATGAATACAAGCCTTGGTGCTACTATAATAAAACTAAACTGACTGCAGAGATAATAATTCTGTTATTCAGTGTCATGGGTTCTATGACTCTCTCTTTTGTTTCATGCCATGAACAGAGCATACAATTAATTTGGCTTTCTCATCTGCTTAATAGAACTCTTGCAGCTTGATACTAACATGGCAATAAAAAAAAAAAAGAAAGTAAAAAAAAAAAGTTGTTTTTGACTTTACCTCTTTCTACCTCCTTTTCATTTTTAGTTTTCTTCCATCATATTTTGGCCTTCCTCTTGTGTTTTACATCCATTTGTATTGAAGTGTCATCCAACAACTTACCTCCTCAATAGGAACACAATTTTTTCATTTATAAGAACTAAAATAAAATCATATAAAATATTACACAATTTTCTAATATGGAAGCCTTTAACAGCTAAATATTGTTAAAAACATTAAATTTGTTTTAGATTGTTCTTATTATTATTATTATGGTAGTCTGATTAATATCACACATTTGTCAGTCAGTGTTGGTCATCTGTTATTGTGATAATAGAAACTATGATGTTGAAGCACATTTAGTGAAATAGATTCTCACCATTCAGGGAGTGGCAATTACGTAGTACTGGCCAAAGAAATGTAGGATGGTCAAATACCATAATTGTATTGTCATAAAACCATGACTGTTTATAACATTGACTTTTGCTGTCTTTGAACTAATTAATTATGTAACCTTTTTATAATATAAAAGCCAGATAAGTGTTTCTCTTTTATCTACTCCTGTATATATTTTCATTACCTCTAAAACTGATGTACCCATGTTCTCTAATTTGACTACTTTTTCATTTTCTATTAGATTTATGCCGAGTTTCTTTCAGTATTAATTTTGCTGCATGATCCTTTGGTTGGTTCAAGCTCATAATGTCATATGTTCATTATAAAATGGGTGAAGATAGATCTATCTTTGCCCTTCATTGAAAGACTGTTGACGACTGAGATTGATGATGATTATTAAAGTCATGGATGACTTTGTAAGAATGAAACTTAAATGAAAGAAGCTTTTTGTACACGGTGTCAGATTTTATTATGTAAAGTACATTTTCACAATGAATTGGTATTAATCAACCAATGTTTGGAAAATTTTGAAGATGTACTTATATTTATGAGATATATATCCGGAGTTTCAACTTAGAATAACTTTTTGGCCGGGAGTGGTGTTTAGGAGTTTTATTATGCAAGTAAACTAGATAATAGCATGAATGTTTATTTATTACTAAGTTTAAAAGATCTTTGCTATAGAAACATGTTTGAGTAACACTATCTCATAGACATTTCTGTTGTTTTTATATATATATATATATATATATATATATATAAGAGAGAGAGAAATGTAAAAATATTACAAAATTAATAATAAATTCATCAAATTTTCCTGGTTTGTTTTATTCAATGAAACATGTTTGAAAAAAAGGTTGCTGCCCAAATATACATTACATTTTATACACATCAAATAATTTTAAAAATATTTAGTTTTAAAGAAACCCATATGGGACCTAGCAATGGATTCAATATAGTCTTTCCACTTCATGTCCTGGAGGTTAGCATCAGCCATGCTAATGGAAGGTAGAAAGGGAAAATGAGGAATCATTAAGTAACATGTATTTTTATTATGCTTTTGATTATAAATTAAATTCTAAAACCCTTAATGGTATTGATTTTAAATACAAAATAAGTTATACACTTTTTTTTTAACTATAGGACATTTCTTTTGTGATAGAATTTAAAATTATTTGATGTGTGTTGTATTACTTTATTTTTTTTTATAAACTTTTTCCCCCTAAATATCTCACTTGGCTATACTCCTGATCCTTAGTCCAAAGTTTTACTTAATGGAAAAAAGATTTTGTTGGTAGCTCTTCCATGTTTTTCTTATTTCTTTACAATATGATTTTTATTGATGCTTAGAAGAGAACTTGGTGCTTGGCAGCTCTTTCATTTTCTCATTTCTATATTTCATCCAAACATAGTTGACGTCTAGGAAACAATGAGCATCCTGCTAAGCCTTTCATGTCCATTTTCTCATTTCTACGCTTGTCCCAATGACATTAATATAAAGAATTTCCATTTTTGATGCTTTTCAAAATTTCATAATCCAAGGCATAATTAATTATTGGAGATAAACAAAAACTAATGCAAATTCACTACTTATTTCCAAAAATTTGATTTCAGCTGATGTCAATATTAATTAAAGTGGCAGACATTTCGAATGAACTACGACCTTTGGAAGTTGCAGAGCCTTGGCTGGAATGTCTTCTTAATGAGTTTTTTGCTCAGGTTTGTATTCTGAAATAAAATTTAATTTTTTAATTTGAAATGCTTTCTTTATATAATGAACTTGAAAAAATGAATATCCTTTTTTTTTTATTATTGAAATAATATTGATTTTATGATAATACAAATATTTTTTATGTTCTCACATTAAACTAGAGATACAAGATACATTTTTGTCACATTTAGGTAACCTTAAAATTTATTGATATTTTTTAAAAATTTGATTTACTTCTGGAAAATTATGCTTATATTATTGGCAATGTAGAATTCATTTGAGATGTTTTTAGATGTTTAAGTTTTCAGCAATCGTTTCATTTTCTAATCATTATTTTTTTCCATTCTACATAAAACATTTTACCTTAATTAGTGTTGTAGAGTAGTTTTCACAGTGGAGGCTTGTATTTTACTGATCGGTTTGAAAAGGGTCCGATGTACAAAACGTTAGGAACTTGCAGTAATAGTTAATGACACAGCAATCTAGTTGTGGGGCTCATACTTTAATGTCTGACATCAACTGACTCACACCACTCACTCAGCTTCACTTGCGACTGCTGCTACTACTACTACTACTTATTATTGGTGGGAGAGTCTATTTACAATAGAAATAGGTACGTTCTGGTATAACAATTAGATTCTAAAATTTAATTTATAAATGAAACTTCAATTTTCTTATGATCATATGTTGAGTTTTAATCAGTAGTTTTTTATAGATTTTATGGAAAAAATTGATCTGTATGAAAATATTTAGTTTTAGAGAAACCCATGAAATGTCTCTCATAATTCCTAGAAATTCTTTTCTCAGGGGTTGACAATGATTAAGGCTGCCCTGTCAGTTGGGCCTTCAGAATATACCGACTGTGCCCCTGCAGAGTGATAAAACTACCTCAATGAGGTGTCCTGGGTATGATGATAAACTACATCTGGCAGCAAGGCCTCTGATCAGTAGGTTTTGAGAAGCATGGAACCACAATTGCTGGTGTTCCTAGGTCCATCCTGACCTGAGGTGGAGCAGCTGTTAGGATCCCAGCTATGGCAAAATAGTTAACTCCCAAAGTGGGATCAGAACACTGTGAAAGTGTAAAAATAAGTTTTATAGCAAAAATACCAGCAATACATTTTTTGAAAAACTACATTACTGGCAATACATTTGACACAAAAAAAACTTTTTACAAAAATATGTCACTGAAACCTGATATACAAACTGATTTCTTACAAAGAATAATAGATATTCTACTCATCTGAACCTATCCTAAAAATCTTGTCGGCATTAAATAACCTATTGAGGTTGGTATGGCATAAAACATAATAAACCAAACCAAAATTAATGCTGTGTAGGTCAAAATCCTTTTGGTTGGAGTTGGTTTCACTGTTCCTGCATATGTATGAAAACTTTTACACTGGTAGGCCACATTAGCTCCTGGCTGTTACATCTAAAGAACAGATGTGTTGTGTGTGCTCTTTTTCATGCAAAATGATTGAATGCATTGAGCAGAGATATTGCATCAAGTTTTGCCAAAAGTTTGGTGATACTTAAGCTCAAAGCATTCTGAAGATTCAGCAGGCTTTGGGCAAAACTCAGATCAAGGCGTGGTACAACTGTTTCAAACATGGCTGCACCTCAGTGGAGAGTAAGGCATGCTCAGACAGGCCATCAAGAAGCCGAAACAAGAAGTCGATTGAGAAGGTTTCACGGAAGACCTTCATGTAACAATCCAGGAAATTAATCTCAAAGTCTGACTAAGCACAAGATCAGTGCATTCCATTTTAACAGAATTTGTGCTAGTGGAGAGCGTTGGTGAAATTTGTCCCCAAGGAGTTGGTGGAGCAGTAGAAGTAACTCAGCATGGTAATTGTGTGGTTTTCAGATTGGGGAAAAGGCTGAAGGTCACACAATGCCAAGCTGGGAGAGTAGAAATGGTGTGTTCTACTTAACCAGGAAAGCTTGGTGCAATATCTCTGCTTGACATGTTGGGTCATCTTGTGTGAAAACAAAAAATCTGATGTGTACATAGTACATGTTTGTACTTTAGGCATAACAGCTGGGAACTAATGCTGCCTAACAGTGCAAAAATTTTCATGCATGTGTAGGAAGAGTGGCGTCACCTTCCAACCAAACAATTTTGGTTACAATGCATTAGTTATGTTAGAAAAAAATGGACATGTTTTTGGAACAGACCACATATGGTTTTGTGGCAGACGAGTGCTGATTCATATCTTATATAAAATGTCATCTTAAAGTTTCAATCAGTGAAATTTATGCCTAAATTATAAATGTGACTGAATAATTTTTTTATTTTTATTTTAAGAGTTAAAAGCAAAAATATATTCTTAAGTGTAGAAAATTTCTAATTTATTTATTTGTATCACAGTCCACTATCTTTATTCTTTTCTGTGAACTTATAATACCTGTTATTGTATTTTGTTAGAGTGATGCTGAAAAATTGGAAGGTCTCCCTGTAACAGCATTTATGGATAGAGAAACAGTTGTCCGATCCAAATCACAAGTCCACTTCATTAAAAATGTATTATTGCCATTGCTGCAGGCTCTAGCTCGATGTTTTCCCAAGGCTGTGGTAAGTGTAACAAATTAGCATATTTTACAATTTTATGTATAATTTTTGGAGTTTCTCATTAAGGTTGCAATGATACAGCAGGCAGTCATAATGTGAATAATATATTTCAAATCTCCTAGAAATTCTCTGGGTGATTTTTGCCTGTTGAATAAAACAAAGAGGCATAGACTTATTAGAGTTTTTTTTTAAGATTAAGGGACGCCCATCACTTTTATTTGGAAGCCTCACAACATTACATTTATTAAAATTCCATGTTGGCAAACAATGCATGTCACGAAAAATGAAAATTATTTATTTTGATTTCACATCCAGCTCCAACCTATTTCATAATTATTTTTCTATCTTCAGAAAAAAAACAGTACTCTAATTTTATTTGATTCCTTTATTAGATTTAAATTTCTTAGTGGCTTTATTGCCTTCTTTGGTGTGAAAAGATTTAAAAAATAATTTTGGGTGGATTGTAAGATTGATCATCTTATTTGATATCCCTTCTTGCTTTTTTTTATATATATATATATATATATATATATATATATATAAAATAAATGTGAAAAAAAAAAAATAGAAAATAGCAAAGGTAAATTAGGTAAATAATCCAAAGTTCTTTAGTATTTTTGTTATTATTTTTAAAAAATAGTGCTCGATACAAAAGTAGAGCATAAATATAATTATTTATTTAAAAATATGATTCCGAAACGCGTGTTGGAATCATATTTTTAAATAAATAATTATATATATTGGAAAAGATGTATGACTCAGTGTAAAAAAGTTCTTGTGTGACATGTTTTGTCCTCTAGGTCTTCACATCAGATTAAATTTGTTATGTTTGTGCAACTACACATTTGTGCAAATGAGGGATGCTGTGAATTTTAGATTTTAATATTTTTTTTTTTATATATATAATCTAGCGGATTTCATTTAGATTCTTTTTCTTTTTGTTTCCATCACATTTGTTTGTAGATATCCCACACTGTGATAATAGAAATTCTGTCAGGAATGGTGAAATGTAAGAGCCTGAGGGAAAATGTGGATGATCTTACGATCAAGGCACTTTCTAAACATTTTCACCATAGTGATTTGTTTTCTCCTTTGGTCAGAGTAGTATTTCTTATATCAAAATCGTGATCATACAAAAACTTTTTTCTGCTTTATCATACAGTCCCCCCCTCAATATTATTATTGATATATAAAAATTTATATATCGTTATCTTATATAAAACTTAACTGTTAACCTAAATCTAAAAATTTTTGTTCAGTATTTGTTATTCATTTCTTAAATATGTTTCCATTATCTTTCAGAGTTTACTGATATCACCAGCTCATGAAGCTTTGTCTTATTATGAAAGACAATCACAGGAATATGAAAATGACCAACGCAATAAAGAGGCAGCACAGAAAATTTCTTGATAAGACATTTCTTTGCATGAATAAGCATTCAAAGGACAATTACTAGTTATCATTTCCCCCTTTTCTTTTAAACATCTGGGAAGTTTAGACAATAACATCAGAGCAAGAGAAAATGTATTTCTCTTCTGGCCATTGGCAAATGATCCAACACTATTGTCACAACTCTCCAATCAATGAACTCAGCCATTTACTCATTCATTCATCATTCAATCTTTTATTCATTCTTTAACATTTCATTCATCTATGTATGTTGACATTTCAGCATACTTTCCTTTCCCCTTCCCCCACTTCTTTTAATTTGTCTCCCTTGTTGACTTCTCTTTCTCTGTTGACCTTTTTTTTTTTTCTTTGAAGAACAGACTCCAGATAAATGACAACAAAATTATCTTGAAACGGTTTTACCCATTTTGCAAAAAAAAAAAAAAAACAAAATGGAGAAACTTTCAAAATTGGAAGTGTTCTTCATTACTTGGACGTAACATTAAAATGAAAATGACAATTCAGAATAAAGAAAAGGATAATAAATGGAAAAACAAAAAATTTGTTGGATGTTTTTTTTTTCTTTTCTTTTTCAGAACAGATTTAAAGTATCTCTTTGAAAGTAGAAGCAAAATTTCTTTGCCTGATTCGTATTGAAACTCATCATCAACAAACAAAAATTCATTGAATCATTTTTATTGTAAAATATCTGATATTAGTAATTGACAAAATCCAAAGAAGGATCTGCAATGTAATCGATCCTGACCTGGCATCTTGACTTCAGTCATTTCTCACAGATGTGACATGGCTTCCTTCTGTCTTTTCTACAAATATTTTCATGGCAACTTCTCTGACAAACTTTTTTATCTGGTGCCCCAACAACATGATTTTAAGTGTGCAACTAGATTGGCATTTAGGACCCACCCTTTTACTGTTGAAATAGTTAAATGTAATTGCCACTTCTGCTCAAAGCTTTTCTCACACTTCCTGCCTGTGGAACTCCCTTCTGTTTACTTGCTTCCCTGATAAATAAAATCTTCAAAAATTTAAATGCAATGTCAATAACCATCTTCTGTTGAACTAGTCCAGTCTAGTCCACCTGGTGCTTCGACTACATAAATTTAAGTGTTCTGCTAGATTAGCATCTAGGTCCAATCCCTTTTACTGTTGAAATAGTTAAATGTAATTGCCACTTCTACTTCAATAGTTTCTTTTCTCATGGTGCCTGACTTCTTTCCATTTACTTGCTTCCCTGAAAACTACAATCTGCAAAAATATAAATGCAGGCTAGCGTAACCAAAGCTGACCTTGACAGACCCATCATCCGACAGACCGATGCAACCAGGTTTGCCAAATCTCACCTGTTTCAATTCCCTTTGTGTCTCGAGAGGTGCTTCTGGCCAAGTGTGTGGACTTCTCTGTTGTGTAGAGTAGGCCACTAAAATCAAATTCATGCCAAATTGCCTCGTCAAACTCTTTGATTCATAATCTCTGCTTCATGCACAAACTTATCAATCGGGTAAATGGCTGTTTACATTCAATGTCTCAAAGACTGAGCTAGTTACATTCCATCATTGATGGACAGATGTCCCCTTGGGGAGACACCTTGTCTTGAAAGACTATTTGGCCTCAAATGTCCACCTTACCTCAAGTGGAACTCTTACATATGATCTATTGCTAAGAATGCAGGTAAAAATGGTTGGCTTCGTATAAACACTCCAGTAAGTACCTGACTCCTCCTGATATCCTCTACCAGACAGATCATTCCAAAAATGGATTCTGTCTTATTTTGGTGGGAGCTTCCCAGACTTCTCTCTCCAACCTTGATAGACCAAAAGTGTCTCTGAATCCTTGTGGGTGACAATTTTCCACCCTCCAACCCCTCTCCCACAGGTGGAATGTGGAAAGCCTCTCACTGGTCTACTTCCATGGAAAGTACTCACATGAACTACATTACCTGGTTCCGCCAATTCAAAAATTCAAGGCAAGGACACGCCACGCCACTTACATCGTAGCAAACCAAGTTCTGTCTTCCATGAGTGAGAAGTAAGTTCTACACTAGCAGCTTCTTCCTGTGAAACACTGCCCTGTGGAACCGACTCCCAAGAGGATGTTTCCCCAACCACTACAATCTTAACCTATTCAAGGCTAGGGTTAACTGTTATTTTCCACTCCTCTCTTCAAAAATTGCCTCCTAATGTAACCCTCTACTTCAAGTGGACCTCCCACTCACAGGCTATGTAAAAGGTGAACGAAAGGTGTGGAAAAAAAAAAAAAATAAATAAATAAACTGACACCAGTGGAGAGAAAGGGAATAGGGAGAAAAGATGATTATCCTGATAATTGAATGTGAGCTGGTGACTGCAACAACAATTTTATTTGGCTTTAATGCTTTGGAATTTCAGTCTGGTACTTTAAGACCAGCATAAAGCAATAAACATTTACATCTGCAGCTTCACATTTAAAGTCCAGAGCAATTTGATGGCTTCACAATGTTTATTTGATTTTATTGTATGCAGCCTGTCAGATTCTGCTCCAGATGCACCACAGTCACTTGTTCCATCCCTAGATGAAAGAAGGTTCACAAATTGTTTTTTGGAAGTAATCAGCTGGACTAAAATGCTAAAAGAGATTCTGACAGCTGCTGCATCTCAAGGAAAATCTAATGAATGTTCATATACAAAAATTATTTGCTGAAAATTTCTTTTCATATTATTACAATGTAAAAACAATCCTTAACACTATCAGACTTTTTTTTTTTTTTTTTTTTTAAATAAAGATCAAAAATTTAAATAAATTAATAAAAGTATATATCTGTTTATTGTTAATTTCAGATAAACGATTATTATCTCCCGAATTGGAAATTAAACATCACCGTACAAATATTTTAAATAAGTATTAAGCAAAAAAATATAATTAAGTAAATGTGCATGTGCCTCTTTTAAAAAACAAAAAGAAAACGAAAATCTCCTTTTATTTTTTATTTATTTATTTTTTTTCTTTCTTTTAAGTTGAAAAAAAATTCAGAAAAAATGCACATATCAATGACGAAAACATCTTCAAACTTGACATTTATAAATAACAAAGTCCAGATAATCCTGTAAAAAGTCGGGGATCAATTTGTGACTGGATATTATGAATGAAATTTTACTTCTAAATTGATTAAAGAAAAAAAAAAAAAAAAAATTTCAATTTCAACAAATGTCACATTTTTAGGAAGGTCTAATGAATGCTAATCTACAGAAAATATTCCCCAAAGTATTTTTACCTAATTCTATGAGTGAACCAATCTATTTAAGTAGTAACTTCTTTCTGCCTCGAACAGAATCATTTGCTAAATCTCCACCCATTCTGGGTTATTATTTTTTACGCCATTTGACACTTATTTTATTTTGTCCAAATCTTTATTAGAAAATTCATTTGGTTTTACAACTACAAAGTCTGGTTGTTTTGGTCCCTATTGGATTATTTTTACTTCATTATATTTTTTTTTGCTTAATACCTATTTAAAATATTTGTACGGTGATGTTTAATTTCCAGTCATTTTTTTTTTTACTAGTTACCTTGGCATTTGTTTGAGTTACATTTTTTTTTAACACACTCTACTTTAGATATAAACATTAATCAATAGAATAGGTGGCAAAATGGGGTATTTAAAATCATGTTCTCAAAGTGAAGGATTAAAATATAATCCATTGTAAATGGTTTTCTACTGTTGGCTTGTAAAATCCTAGCTAGCTGGTAAGGTGGATGGCTTTGATTATATTACAGTTATTCTCAATGTCAATAATAAAATGGGGGTGGGGGGAAAGCATTCGATAGAAATCTTGGAAAATTTGATGCTTGTAAGACAGATTGAAGGCAAGAGGGAAACCTACTTTTGCAAGCTTGAATAAATGGATGGTAGAACAAGGTTTAGGAGAGATTATAAAAAAAAATTATTGAGCTACAAAGAACAGGACATAGTGGAGAGTCATGATCACCAACGTTCTGAAGGAACACGACATAGTTCAATACATTAAAAAAATATTACCAGTGATGCATTTGAAGAAAAAAATATTACCAGAAATATATTTTTGAAGGAAGAAAATATTGCCAGCAATAAAAATTGTCAGCATTAAATAACCCATTGAGGTATCTGTCTATATTTCTGAGATGAGGTATTATGTACATTATTTACATTATTTGACTACTGTTCTCATATTTATCGCCATATTTATTACACTTCGCCGTTGTTTTTCCGGCCTTCTTCAGGTATTGGAATGTCGAACTGAATTCTTTATTTCGCCCAGATTATTAGACTGTTCTAGTTCCAATGCCATGTTTAATAGTTGTCATCGAATCACTTTATCTCCTGTTTATTTCCCTTTAAAAAATTCTCCACTGCCTTAACCGGGTATTGAACTCACACTTTATCCACAGTGGATAAAGGCGTTGGTTAGATCAGTGACAGGACCCAAAGAGTGTGAGTTCAATACCCGGTTAAGGCAGTGGAGAACTTTCAGAGGGAAATTAACAGGAGATAACTGATAACTGACATCCATTAAACATGGCACATGGAACTAGAACAGTCTACCCCAGTGAGTGAAATAAAGGGTTAAGTTCGACATACCAACCACCTGAAGAAGGCCGAAACGTACAACGGCCGAAAAGTTGTAATAAATATGAGGACAATAGTCCGAATAATGTAAATAATGAACCCAATGAGGTGTTGATATACCGTAAAACAAAACAAACCGAACGACATAGTTATAGCTATAAAAATAATAATCTTTATTTTATTTTTTAAATCATTTCACCGCAGACAAGGCGATAATGTCACTAGGATGCATGGGGTTATAGGGAGTGAAAGAGAATGAGAAGACTTAAGTGAGGAAATGACAGGTTTCAGAAAGACAGAAGATGGTGATTGATGTTACATTTAAATTTTTGAAGATTGTAGGTGACAGGGAATGAAGAAATAAAAAGGGAGTTCCACAGGTGAGAAGTGCAAGAAAAGAAAGTTAGAATTGGCGTGTGTG